AGAGATAACACAAACTATTCTCTCAAAGTTGCAGCACATTTCAAACAATTTTATCATGATGAAAATTTGTGATGCGTATTCATTCTTTTTCATATATGTTAGTAGGAGAGACAATGAGGAGAATCAGTTGCACAATGTGGGAGCAAGAAGCAAGAGAACATGTATTAATGCAGGATCAAAAAGACAGAAGCAAAAAAAAAATTATATTTTAGCAAAATACATTATATTCTTGTTTGTATTTATATCAGTACCCGTTATGCCACAAACCACACAAAACAGACCACCCCAGTGTAGTTACTCAGCAGTGGATGGAGACACCGGGACAAGAGACTGCAGAGGATACGGGGAGGACGACACACAGCTGTCTCCCCACATTGGTAAGCTGATCACGATCAAATTGTCATCAAACAATTTGAAGTCAGATGAATATCCACAAATCTGTTCTTCATTATGTGGAGTTCCTCCCATGCATAAACACCAAACTTAGAGCACAGATTTGTTGGGCATTTGTGTGTGGCTCATTATTTGTGTGTGGAAATAGCTTGGAAGAAGTGTTTTTGAATGCCTGTTTTAGCATAAACCCCACCTGCCACCCTCTGTAGGTGGTAGGTCTAACTTACTTGTTTTGCAGAATATTTTTGTTCATTCCTATCTCTGCATAATGTTAACTGAAAAAAAACAGGTTCTGAAAATTTCCATTCGCTACTTCAGCTGTAAATATCATGCAGGCAACCAAAACCCACCATTATCCATGGCTACAGCCTTATGCTGAGTGGCACCATAGCCCACTAGTCCCACTGATTAAGTAAAGAGCCATTGAAAACAAGTAAGGGAATGGAAATGTGGCCCAAGATTCAGATGATCAGTTCCAGACAATATTTGAGCTTATCTGTTTTATCCAAACATCAGCTGAGAAGCATTCAACAATGCTGCAGGTTCTCTCAAACACCACACTGCTCCATAATTATATGGGATCTGCGCGCATATTCAAGAGCGGCATTTATTTAGGCTCACAACAGCTGTATTAAAGCCATGTGTAAAGAATATTGTTCCTGGTCTGAGAAACAGTGAATAGCATTTTCCTTATCCAGATAAATCACACACAATAACGCTTGATATTATCTAGTGCCACTAAAGCAGTCAAATTAAAACAAATCAGGAGAGTATACCCTTAAGTGCATAACTCTAGGGATTGAAAGCCTTTGAATGCAGAATTTTATGCTTTTTATATATTCCTAGCCTCATTCAAGTAATAAGCTTATACACAATAATGAAAAAGATTTCTTCATCCACCACTACCCACTAAAAAAAAAAAAAACACACAACATCTATTTTACTCGTGAATTTTTGATTCTGCAGACCCTCTAAGAAAGCAACAGCCACTAGCAAATTCCATGATGACCAACAGATTGGGGGACCCAGTAAAGAAACCCAAAAAAGCAAAGGATCATTTTTTCAGAAAGTAATGACCCCTCCAATTGCTGACATTCTGGAGGTGCCCACTTAACAGTGACCACCTTTAACCTTCTTGGCCAAAGCAAACTGCATATGCACAAAAGATAAAATTCTCTCTACTCAAAAATGAATCTCTCAGGAGATCCCAGACTGTGAATTATCTACTCTCACCATTTTATGGAATTATGTATTACTATGAATTATTGGGCTCAATCCTGCAAGCTTAATGCACAAACTGTCCTTGATGTCCAACAGGGATAACTTGGGCAAACAAGGCTCCTTCCACCAGGCCTTAGGCACTAGGGTTCAGAACAGTTTTGTGATATCTGAATTTTTCACATTTGAAAGCACGAGCTCAGCGCTGTGGCACACATTTGGGTAGGTGGTTACTTGTGTGCTGAGGACCACGGCTGTGCTGTAACATGTTTACAGACAACTTTTTCCCATGTAAAGGTTCGCTGCCCCCTTCATAGATAAAACTAGCATCTAAAAAAAATGAAGGTCCGTCTCTGATTTGATTTAACTGCTGTTACTCACGAGTGCAAGAAAGACCTTTTGCCACAGTCTGTCCTTGCAAGATAAAGTCCTTCAACTCATCACCAATACCTATGATTAGCAGTCTACTTTAAATCCACACTCCTGATATTTATAATACAATTTCAGTAAGTTCTCTAAAGCTCTCAGATCCCCATCAACTTAAGCCACTTCCTTAACTTTGCAACTTTTACCTAAAGGGCAATCCAAGCTGCTTCCACTCCCTAAAACCTCATGCGACGTTTTGGATAGAAGTATAAGGTGTTCTACCACTGACCAGCATTTTCTCCAAGAAATGTTACGATGCTACAGAAAAGTGATCATCTGACCTATTTCCACAAAGGACACAAACCAAGTTTACTAGTCAAAAAAAAAAAAAAAAAAGGATTCGAAGATAAGGAAGAGATGGGTGGTTTGTAGATACTGAAGATTGCACCGTGGCTACTGCAGCTATCACGCACTAAACAATGAAACCCTGAAAAGAATCCAGTTACAGGCACAGGCTGCGGTTCATGACTGATGGTGCCATTGCGCAACAGAAGTATTTGAAAAGCAACTACAGCCTTTTGCATTTACAGCCTATCAGCCTACCCAGGGCAGAAAACACCATACTGGGTGTTTTCCTTGGAAAACCCTGTAAAACAAGTTTGGTGACACCCACTGCAGCACGACCTCAATTGAATGTACAAAGTTAACCAGTCTAACAAAATTCCCCAGTAAAAAACATGCTACAGTTGGTCATGAAAATCACAAAGATCAGGCCACATTCCCAAGATGACTGAACCCAACATAGAAGGAAACACACCTCTGTCTGTACTGGCGAAGCAAAACCATTACCTGCTGCCCTACAATTACCGCCTTCCTAAACAGCAATCTAGTTAACTGGGGCAGCGGGGATGTCAGCCCAAAACTGGAACCGTCACCCTACCCTATTTAGCTTGCCAACAGGGGTTGACAGGGTCATTAGAAACCAATAAATGTATAAATTAATTCAGTGATCCTAGGCATGTACATAAGATTCTCCGCTCTTTTCCCTCCTTTTAGGAGGCCTTTACATGTCACCTTATGCTTTGTGCTGTTATCACCACCACCACATGCTGAGTCTTTAAAACCATTCTGTATTAAAAAACAGAATACATGTCTCAGATGGTTTAAAGATGTATATGCTTACTCAAAAAAAATACTCCACCCCAAAATATCACCTCTAATAGCAATTTATGTTATAGTTTCCAGAACTGCCAAGTACTTGGCTGCAAAACTTTCAAGTGATGGAACTGAGGCACCTGTGAAATACTGGGTTTTCTTTAAGAACTGCAGAAACCAGCATTATTAAACACCCCAAGGGAACTTCCTTGATTATAAGCCCTTATGTAAACTTAATGGAACTGAATACCACGATGATCAATTTTCACCTTTTATCTTAAAGTGCTCCCATGGAAGAAAGACTCTCCCCCACAAAGGGGTATTTCCTGCTGGCCATTCCCTCTTATCTGGTTGCTGAAAACCTTGACAATACTGATTCGCGCACTCTTACTTCTCAGGGCAGCTGCCCTCAACCACACAGATACAATCACACGCAACTGCTACCCAGACTGTATACGTGGAATTAAATCTCAGTCAAATTCTCATAGGCTTTAAATGATAAAGTGATAAAACTGTGGGAACGTGCATAGTAGAAGTAGCTTAAGTATAAAGTGGTTTAATTGCATGAAGATGTGAATGCACTAATAAGATAATAGTATGTTTTGGTTCTGCTAGCTAGGCAGCAATTCCCACTCTGGGCACCGAGTCAAACAGCTCAAACTGTCACCAGCACCTGCACCGTACCCCCACCTACACAGCAAACAGTTGACAGTGAAAGACAAACCTATGTGATTTCTGCTCAGCAGCTTTTAGCAAAACCAGATTCAAGTGAAGCTAAATGGTCCATTAAATGGCCATGCCAACAGAAGTTTGGTTTTGACAATATACAATTAAGTCACTTTTTCCATCCCCAAGATACCCATTTAAGAAGCACGTTAAAACTCAGTATTTCATCATAGGTAAGTTAAAAATGGGTGTATAAGCTGTAAACTGCTGCTTAGCCATTCTCAGATATAACGTGTCAAAATGTGAATACGTTCAGGTCTTTTTTACTCTGAAAAAAATCTGGCCTAATCCTTCAGGCAGCTACTACTGGAGAGCTGAGCTGGCTTCACAGCCCTCTGGGAACAGAGGTCTCAAGGAAGGAGGGGAAACAAAACCTCAGTATTTGGTGGGCTTCAAGGAGGTCTTGGATTCAGCTCCATATACTTATTTGAACAGTCTCACAGGTATCACCAATAAACAAAAACATTGTTCATTACTGTTTGCAAGATCAGGCCCCTCAAGGCAGTGGCCTGTTGAAAGCAAACAAACAAAAAAACACTACACAGAAAGGAGAAAAGAAAATCAAAAGACAGATCCAGACACCTGAGAAAATGCTTATTACATGCACTGGATAATTCCCGTAACTGGAGTTTTTGCCTTCCCTAGCAACACAATGTGGCTGTAGGACTGCCCAACATTCCCCTCTGCAAGCAGCCCTAGCAGCAAGGCCATACTTACACCAAATATTGTGGACAACTCATCAGGAACTACTTTTCACTTGTTCTTTGCTACAGACAAATACTCTCGAGTCTTTGTTCAAAAACAAAGGCTATAAAAGAGTAACAGATTATTAAAGGGAAACTTAAACTCTTTCAGAAAAGTGAGAGCCTAAACTTGACATAAACTCAGCACAACAGACTACAACTCTGCTCTGTTCCACTGGGCAATACTAGCAAGTATCTTTCCACCACTAAAAAAAAGTTATCTTTTTCCTGTTCTGCAGGAATGACTTGTCAACTATCAAATTCACGTATAGCAGAAAAACGAGGACAAGAACTGCACTGCCCAAAGGACTGGTCCAAGACATGGAACCTTTCATTCCCTGTTCTGGAGTCGAAAGTGTACATATTTGTATTATTGGTACTTTACCCAAAGACACTCACTCTTGGTCGTCCTTCCTGAAGATCGCCCTGCTGTAAAGGTCACACAGCAGAAATGCTTCCTCTGTATTTCATAGGCTGCTGATGCCACCTGGGGAAAATGCGTCAAGCCAGTCACTCCCAGAGCATTAAGGACAACGGGTTACAAGACAAAAGCCTTCCTCAACTTTGAGGAGTATTTACAAACACGATGAATGCCAGAGTGTGTCCTAGCATGCCAGCTTGAAAATAAGTCAAGCACCTGGCCCTCAGCACAAAAGGCTGACTCACCTGTACGGCATCTATTATCCTTTGAAAAGACCCCAAGTTTAGCACTCCAAGGACACAAAGTACTTTCAGGAGGCTAACGGGAGCACGACTTTTCCTCATCCTTCTCTCCACCTGCACACACTGCAGATCAAAGTTGTGGGATGGCTTCCCAAGCCAGGGGACAAAGATGACTTGCATACACGGGATCACTTTCCGATACTGCACAAACACCCCCTGACACCAGCCCACCTACTCTACTCCAAGGCGGGGGGGAGGGAGAGAAAAACAGCACAGAGATTAAGAGCCACAAACACAATCCCCGACTGCTTAAACCTACACTCCACGAAGCTCTAACAGCAATGTTACTCCCCATCCCATCCTGCAGCTCCACCGAAAAATAATGCATAAAACTGAGCAAGCACTTTAGCACAAGACACTCTGCATCAACTAAGTCAGGAGGAAATCGTGCTTTTCTTGTTCCCGCTATATCCTCACTGCCCCTGATCAAATTTGTTTGCTATTAGACTACAGCTAATTCAAGGATTGGGGGGGGGGGGGGGGGGGGGGGGGGGGGGCAGGGAGAAGAGAGAGAGGGAAGGGAAAAAGCAGCTTGGTGATAACAGTTGTGATGTGTTAAATGTCAAACTTACTTTACTGTCATTCCCACTACCGTCCAAACAGATTTTGCTTTGTATTATCTTCACTTTCATTTATTTATAGAAAAAAAAAATGCAAAATGAAAACCGTCGCTCTTACAAAGTGCCACATTGTGCAGTGATCATTCACCTGAGCAATATCTTGCACCAGCTTTTCATTCACACTGGTGACAATGCTAGAAGGCCACTGTAAACCAAATCCCCCTGCCCAAGCTTTGAAAGGACTATCAAAAGATCTGAATGACGTGAGATCTGAAAACTCCCCACTTCAAGGTAAAAGTCAAATCCTCCCCAGCATAGCTCTTTTCAAATTGTAACACTTCCAGTAATCCACAAGTGATCCTTTTATTCTCAGGAACATAAACTTTACATTAACATGAAGAGGCAGTTCCTTGCAATTTGTTTAAGCTAAATCCAAATCCAAGCTATACGGTGTTCGAGCAAGAGAAAAATGGAGCCTCTGCATGCTCAGGCTGTCAACTAAAACATATTAACTCCCACAGTATGTATAGGGGAAATTGCGTGGGATGACCCGAGATCAAAGGTTTTTTTCTGCATGGCTCCCACACACCTACATGGCCACTTTATGCTGTAGGAATGCTACCAAGACAGCTGCTCTCCTGGCACAGCACTGAAGCTATCAACAAAGAAGCATACAAACAAGCACCTAAAACAGTGATTTATTTATTTATTTGTTTTTACTGGCATCACACATGGCTACTACAAGTGCAAGGTAGAGTCTAGTCCTGCAGTAGCTTACCCTACTTTTAAATCTGGGCTGCCACAGTTTCCCACCCCACATTTAAGTCCTGCTGCCTGTACAACAGCATGCGCGCAAGGAGCTAATTCAGCTGATAACTAGTCTAAAACCCTAAAATGGATCACCTCCCTGAACTCGTTCACCATCCAGTGCCAAAAAAAGGGTAGCAACACAAGGATGGGACAGGCGTGAGACACAGGGCACATCTGGACTTCAATTGGCTGGAGTGACCATGGAGACTCAAGTAGAAGTCAACACATGCATGTAGCCGGTTTTTGTTTTTTTTTTTTTTTTAACCACACCACTGCTCATCTTTTCTTCCTGTCACCTTTATACATAAAAGGCACAACCAGTGATGTCTGATGTCTTCGTGTACAAAACATAAACATATTTTACACCAACAAGGCCAGTCACAAAGCTCATACACGCTAGAAGCAGAGTGCGGGAAGAGTCATCATGTTTTGAGCGCAAGCAATAACAATACCACTGAAAGCACACGATCACAGGTGTTTGGCAAAGTGCAACCCTTCTGTTCATGATTCAGCTTAAAAATGCATAGATAAAACCTGCATGAAGGGGTATGGCTGCCAAAGTGTGTCGGAAAACACACAGAGGACCCACAGAAAAGACACACAGAGGGGGCAGTTACACAACAGGTTTTCCCTGGTGACAAAATAGGCCTTGCTGCTGTGTATCCCCATCTCCTCCCTGTACCTGTACTGGCATCGCAGCTTGCTGCCCCTCAGATGTGCTGATATAACTGTGTGTGAGGCTGGGCAATAAAGCATAAGAGAAAAATGAATCAAGTGGGGAAAAAAAACAAAGCAAAAAACCCCCATGCCCCTAATAACCCCACTCCTTTTGAAACTGTACTGTTTCTTTTTATACCCAGTTTCTTTTCCCCCAGGACCAAAACCAGTTTTGATCTTGCTCAGTAGCACTGACATGATCCAGTGGATCACCTGCCCAAAACACTAGGTTGCACAAACCACCAGTCATCTATGTGCTTAATGTTGTAACACAAAATAAAATCTCTAAAAAACTCCAAAACTATATTGCAGAGCAAAGCTGAAATATAATTACCTTAACTAACGCAAATACCCTTTTCTGGAATGCCCGACAGCTATTCATAGGATTGGCACAGTCTAAGTTTAACACTTTTCATTATGAGGCTCTCAAAAGCCCGTTTTTGTTTGCTGTGGAAGCAGGTTGTGTGTTTGAAGATGAAGAGTAGGTGGGAAAGAAGTTCTAACATTCCTCTTACAGCATACTTAGAAATTTAGAGGTCCCTGTAAAATCATGATGATTTTTCTCATCAGTAAGATAGAGGCAGCAATGCTTTCATATCACAGGAGAAATACATAGGCATAAAAGGTTTTATTATCCAGAGACACTGAGCACTATAGAAAAGGAAGAAATCAATGATCCTCTTAGTCATTACATACACTTGATAACGTCCAGAAAATAAACTGATGAAACTATTCTCTGAATATGGTACAAAACAGGTCCTGCAAGATGAAAAATAGCATTCTACGTCAATAATAGTACACTACCATATATACAGAGGAACCAAGTTAAGACTGAACAAGGAATCCTTTTTTTTTTTGGCATTTTCTAACTTTTGGGTGCTAAACTCCAAAAGCTTGTAACGTAGCTTTTATGTGCAATTTACATGCACCTCAAGAGACTCCAAGTAAAAATACTCACATTATCTTTAAAGAATCTGCAGAAATTAGGAAAGGAAAATAAACAAAGTTTTGTTAAAGTAGTCCCTCCAAACTTGCACAAAAACACGCGCTCTCATTATGCAATGAAGTTGGACTGGTATATTTATTACAATCCCTAGTCAAAAGCTGACCTAGTCAAAAGACATCAGTGCTTAAGACTGGCAAGTAAAATATCTGATGTCACTCCAGAGAAGATGAGGGACAGCCATTTAAGACCTTTGAACTGGTAATATTTAAAGAAAAAGAAACCAAACAAAAAAAACCACACCTCTCCCTCATCTCAACCACCTTCAGCTTCTACTGTAAATAGTCCAAGCCAAATATGAAAAGTGACTGCATTAGGATAAACTCCAAATCTACTGCTATCAACTTATCTTAAATAAACTGTTTGTCTGTGTTAAGTAAACTATTTGACAGAAAAACGACTGTCAGAAAAAAACTGATGTACATTTTTTAGAAGTGAAAATAAATAGTATGGTTTTGATCCTAAAAATAACCATCACATGAGGAGTCTCACTGTTTCTATGGGCTACTTGCATGAGTGAGGCTACACTGGCATTCAAGCACCCGATGAACTGAGCTAGTCTTTTGAAACAACAGTCTTGTTAACACAGTTCTTTTATCGGTTCCGCTGTTGTACTGCTCTGCATCTGAAATGGCTAGGAAACAAGAATTTTAATTAGAAACTTGTATTTTTTAATTAGCCATCATAAATTCAGTAAATATAGAAATCAGTACACAGTGGAAGTGTCTATCACTGATACATATCTGACATTGCCCAGCATGAAATGCCTAGAACAGACCGGTACAGCAAATGAATTCCTTTCCTATTTCAGGAGATGTCAGATTTACTTGCCCACACCAGATCTTTCCTAGTAAGGAAAGAGTTTCTGAAAGCCTTAAAAATCAGGTAGGGAAGAATCCAAAGGTAAAAAGGCGGTATTCTTGGAGGGACATGCGCTAGGAACTGCGGAACCATCAGGACCAGGGATTACAACCCAGTCTGCAGCGAGGACTGCATTTACGACAGCTTCCCCTGGGCAAGGGCTCAAATCACAGCAGGACAGAGCTGACTGAGGAGACAAAAGGCAGATCACTCCTGCCCCGTCCTAGCTGGCTGTGTACGACGGTTCTCACAGACTCCTCGCAAGCCTGTGCCAGTGGCACCCGGAAGGCTGCGCGCTGGCAGCTCCGAGGACACCAGCTCCAGAGCTGCACCTCCCATGAGACGCCAGTCCGACAACTTCTCTTGGTCTGCTCTGAGAGGAAACCATGAAGGTCAAGTCTTAAGTCTTGCTAAAGGTTGAATAAAATTCTGCGGCTGCTACACATTCCTGAAACAGTAAGAATATCCATATAGTATACTCAGCATAGTGTTCCATTTGTGAGACTGCTAAAATGTGCATAAAAAGTTGGATTAAAAAAATATGTGGGAAAACATCCTGATTAGCCCTGCTAGTGTAATGCACCAAGTAAATTAATGCAAGAAAATAAGAACTGTCAAAAGCAATCAGGATACTAACATGTGCCATGCAAGTGTAGATTTCTCTTGGTACTATATTAAAATTTCTTCTTAAAAACTTCTTAATAGATCAAATAGAAAATTGCATACTGCCAAGAAAGGGGGTGGAGTGAATACCATTCTCTACATCGCCTTTTGTGTTATTACAAAGGCA